GCAGCTAGGGAGAGGCAAGGAAGGATCCTTCCCGAGACCCTTCAGAGAGCATGGCCCTGCCAACACCTTGATTTTGGACCTCCTGCCTCCAGAATTGTGAGACAATAAATTTGTTGTTTTAAGCGATCCAAGTTTGCGGTAATTTGTTACAGCAGCCCTAGGAAGCCAAGAGAATCTCTTACTAGTAATTAGTGCCATGATGTCCTGAATACAAAAGAACTATAAACGTTTATTCAATTAACAACATATAGCTTAATAACATAAGGAAAATGCTGAGCCAGGAGGTAGGCTTGTGGCCGAGCTTTGTCTCTGCAAAAGGGCTCCTGGACCCAATTCAAACGTGTGTGTGTGGAGGCTTCCCCACACCAGCAAGTAGTTCGCGGACGCCAGCAGGGGGACCTATAATTCAACTCACTTCTGACTCTATCTACCCAGAGACAGCATCAGACCCCGCAGGTAAAGGGCTCAGTCCCACAAGACCGCCTCCAGTTCAGAGGTCAGTCACAAGCCCAGGTTGTCACCTGTAGTTCTGACCAACTGGCTACAAACTGGAAGTTCCCATGACCCCCTCCTTGGGTTCGATTAATTTGGTAGAGCAGCTCAAAGAACTCAAGAAAACCCGTTTACTCACTAGGTTACCGATTTATTACAAAGGCTATTAAAGGATACAAATCAAAAGCTAGAGGAAGAGGTACACAGGGCGAGGTCCCAAACAAAAGTGCTTCTGTCTTCCGGAGTTTGAGGCCTGGCATGGTAGCAGATGGAACTGTTCTGGTTCCCCAACATGGAAGTTCTCCAAAAAAAAGGAGCTGTCTTTTTGGGTTTTTATGGAGGCGTCATTACGAAGTCATGATTGACTAAGTCGTTGGCCACTGGTGACTGCTTTAACCTCAATCCCCCTCTCCCCTCCCTGGAAATCAGGGGGTGGACTACAAGTTCCAATCCTCAGATCACATGGTTGGTTCTCCTGGCAATCAGCCTCACTCGGGGGTCCAAAAGTCACTTTCATTAACATAACAAAGACACCTGTATCACTCTCAGCACTTAGGAAATTCCAAGGGTTTTGGGAGCTGTGAGCCAGGAACCGTGGATGATATCTAAGAAATATATTTTGGTCATCTGAATGACCCAATATATATATTTCTTATAAATCACAATATCACAGTTACCCACTGGCTAAGAGACCTTGGGCAAGGTCAGGCTTCTCAGTCTTCTCATCCATAAAATAAAGGAGTTGGAAATGGGTTTTCTTTCTGTTTTAACTTTACAAAATTCTAACAGATACAGTAAAGAGCAAAAGTGACAGAATACAAAGATAATTAAAAAATAGGTAAGACTGCAAGAAAGTAGCCACTGCACAGTACCGAAGGTATCAGAGAGAGAAGAGAGAGAGAGACACACACACACACACACAGAGAATTAGTTTGCTAGAGCTGCTGTAAAAAGTACCACAAACTGGGTGGCTTAAGCAACAGAAATTTACTGTCTCATTCTCCTGGAGTCTAGAAGCTGGAAATCAAGGTATTGGCAGGATTGGCTCCTTCTGAGGGCTTTGAGGGAAGGATCTGCTCCAGGCCTCCCCCTTCGATTTACAGATGGCCATCTTCATATTTACACGGCATTTTCACAATATGTGTGTTTCTTTGTCCTAACTCCTCTTCTTATAAGGACACCAGTCATATTGGATTAGGGCTCACCATGATGACCTCAGTTTAACTTGATTACCTCTGTAAAACTCCTATCTCCAAGTAAGGCCTTATTCGGAGGTACATATGAATCTTCGGGGGACACAATTCAACCCGTATCAGAGAGAGAGGGAGTGCACGAGCAATATTTTCTTCTTAGGTACCACCTAGAGCTAAGCTTTTTTGTCAGAAGATTCTGCAGGCTATGAAAAACATGTATTGTGTATAGAAAGAGAGTGATACCCTAGTTCTTGAAATAACAGAATTTAATAGGCACAGGATGGGGAGAAATGGTCAAAGAAATTAGAGAGAATTCTCATGTCCAGAACTCTCTTTACAAGATAATACTAGATTAGGGATGTACGTCTTCCCCCTTTAATTGAATGATTTCCAGATAAGCTTAAGTATACTTGCACCCACCAGTGCATGATGTGCACACACACACACACACTTCTACTCTCCGCTCAAGAATACGCACTGAGACTTGAATGGTACTCTCAGTCTGTGCCTCTAGGGCCCTCGCGACCTCGCCCTACTGACCTGGAGCAGTTACTTCATCCCCAGGGGTGTGTGACTTGGTTACGGAGAGTTTCAGAGCTACGAATAATATTTTCTATGAATAAATTTCTATAGTTCTGTCTGGAAAACGTGTTGCTGCTTATGTCTATGGTCCTCATTTATCCCTCTCTGACCCTTAATGGAAAAACAAAAAAGAGTTCCCTAACCCTTTCATAGCATGCAAAGATGAGGTTCATGTCAGAAAGTTAAAAGGCTCACAATTTTTCTCCTCCCCATCAGTCACCAACATCCCACAGTATTAGCGATAAAGAAATTTAACTCCTGGCTGTCTTCTTTTAAGTTGCTGGTTGGCCCGGATGCAACAATTCTAAAGGAGGATGTCATGTTCCAGGGTGGCCACTGTGGACCTGTCCTGAGATCTTCTTTAACAGCTTAATTAATTCAACCAGTGACTTTTAGAAGATCATAAAATTGTTACCTGTTTGGGGGTTATCAAGTTATTTAATGCTCTGTGTTTTATATTTTGCCAAATCCAAAGTCTTCCTAAGTGACTGTTGTAGTGTTCTCATTTGGAAGATATTGTTTTAACTAAAGTAAATTTTGCAGTAAGCTTTATTTAGCCAATTGTTGATGGCTAGCTAAGAAAATAATTTAACAGATGCCACCAGTGTGTTTATAATAATTAGGAGGTACAAGAGTACAAATTCTTGTAAAAGGTTTTCAAATTATGGGGCCTTTCCTCTTTAAGAAAGAATACATGAGATTAGTTTCATAAGCGCAGGGGCCAGTTTTGTCTTTTTATGTATGAAATGCAACCCAACTCCACTCCATTATTCCCCAATTCATAGTGTTCCAAAAGTTCACTTAAAAGTACATACTTTGGGGCCGGCCCCGTGGCTTAGCGGTTAAGTGTGCGCGCTCCGCTGCTGGCGGCCTGGGTTCGATGCCTGGCGCACACCGACGCACCGCTTCTCCAGCTATGCTGAGGCCGTGTCCCACATACGGCAACTAGAAGGATGTGCAGCTATGACATACAACTACCTACTGGGGCTTTGGGGGAAAAAATAAATAAGTAAAAAATTATAAAAAAAAAAAGACATACTTTGGAACAAGAGACTCTTTTTCCTAAAGAAACCCTATTATACCTGGTAACAGATAACCACCTGAGCCAGGCTCTGGCTCCATACCTGGAATACTTGAGCAGATTTAATTTTCACAATTATTTGACAAGGTAGGTAATTAAAGGCTCATGATCTCGCATCTTAAATCCTAAGGCCAGAACTCTTTCAGTTTTTGGCATTTTCTTTATTTTACAAAAAAATATGGTACATATAGTATATAGAACAAACAACCTCTAGTGGGGTCTGGGGCAGACTTGGTTACCAAACAGATGAATATTTCTACATCAAAGCATATTAATTTTCACACCAAGGGGATGAGTCGGGACTCTGAATCATGTTGATTCAGGTAAGATTTTGCTGCTGAATGAGTTCAGGTGAGGTCAGGTTTTTTCAAAACCAGCTCTCTGAACTTAGTAAATTTCCTAACTGTGGCTGAGGGCGTGTGCAGCTGTATTCTTCTCATTTTCTAGAGGAGAAAGACAGTGACTAGAGCCAAGTAACTCACCCAAGCGCATGGAGCCAGGAGGTGGGATTCAAATCCGGGTCTCCCTGGCTGCAAGCCCCTGCTCTCTGCATCACACTTACTGCCTTAAAATAAAAGGTTATTTCCTCCCACAATCCAGCTAAACCACAGAAATGATAGCACACTCCAGAATCTGACCACTGAGTAAAATGGCATTTCTAGGAGAAACCTCTGTTCAGGGTTTAAAGCCTGGGCATTTCCCACCCTGTTCCCGTCTTCCCAAGTCAAGGTAGGACCTGACCGGGCTCCCGAGGCAGTGGGAAGGGAACTCCACCAGCTTTGAGGCTCAGGGGAGAGCAAGGCAGGGTGGGGGCCTAGGATGTGAAAGAAAAGGCAGAAGACCAGGCTCTGAAGCAGGAGGGGGGAGCAGGGCTTTGAAGGAAACGTGGAAAGTGAGAGTGAGAGGCAGGTCTGAGAGTAAGGAGTGGGTCTCGGGTTCAAACAAGGAAGGGCCAGCGTGGACCAGAGGGAACTGAGAAACTGCAGTGGGCAGGGGTTTCTCTGTTGTTTTACTGCATTAGCAGGGGCAGCACTGGGGGCACAACGGCTCTCCTCGCTCTTTCCACTCTTCCTGCCCCTTCCCTCCAGCCCACCTGCCTGGCAGCCCTTGCTCTCAGCAGCCCTGGGAGGGAGTGAGCACTGACCGAGGGCCTGTTCTGTGCCAGGCACCATGGCAGCACTTCACCTTGACCTCACTCAGCCCTAACAACACTTCACGGTTCATTGATGGGCAACAGACTCAGAGAGGGCAATGTGCCCAAGGTCACCGCGCCAGGAAGGCGTGAAGGGGAAGTCAAGCCCCGCTCTGAACTACCCCAAAGCCTGTGTTCTTTTCAAGGACCAGAAGAGGGTGGGTGGGTGTGGGGCTGGCAGGATGGGGGGTGAGAGCAATGCATCGGGAAATCCAGGGGCTATGAGTCAAGATCCGTACCAGGCATGAGGGTGACAAGGAAAACAGGAACATTGGAGGGAAGAAAAATTTCTCTTAACCATGAGAAATTCCTGCAGCAGCTGGGAGGTAAGAAACAGACACAGACCAGAGAGTATTAAGTTAGAGAGAGCTTGTTAAGAGAATCTAAGTCAACTAAAACACTGATGAGCTATCTAAATTCAGTTACAATAAATAAAAAGCAATCCATCATACATACTTACTTCCCAAAGTTCATAGAGCTCCTTTCTGAGATCTTCCGGGAGGAGCTGGGTTAACTGCTTCATAGCTTCCTAAAATATCAAACCGTTATTTTAATCATGTTCCCATTTATCTAAGTTAACAACTCATCTACAAAAACTAAATAATGGGCTCAAACTCTTACAAATAACTCCCAAAGGGACAGCAGAATATTGGACAATATTTATGGCTTACAAGGGGGGCAGCTGAGTACATTAAATAAATAAGTGTATTTATTCATATGAGCTTCACTGAGCACTTATTTTGTGGCCTGCAGCACACCAGACACAGAAAAGGACAATGAGGAGGGTGTGAGACAATTATAGAAATATCAGAAGCGAGGCCAAGGATTTCATATCTTGTGGATGAATTGCAAGTTGCCCAGATAAATTTCAATCATAAGCATACTCGAGTTCAAAACAAACCTGAGAGTGGGGAGAATAGGAGAGTAACACTGAATTACAAAGGTCAAAGAAATTTTTTGTACAGTATTATATTCATTTTCTATTCTTAATGTTTTTATTGCAAAATGTAAAGCGCTACACACATGGGCAGTTACTGTCACTAATGTAAAGGAAACTACATGATAGCATTTTGTAGGCTCAGAGACTCACAGGCTGAGAAGGCATATTAAAGGGTAATTAGCCAAACCATCCACGTAGCATCTGAACCCGTCAGCAGCAGCACTGAACACTTCTCACCCTCCCTCCATAAGTGGTCCACTGGTGGGAACCTAGCACCTCAAGAGGCTGCCCAAATGCGCTTTAGGCACCACGGACAGAAAGTACTTTCTTAGACGAAGCTGAAAATTGTCTCTGTAGTTCTTCCACTATGCCCAACTCCATCCCTCCTTCTTGCTTTCTTCCCTCACACACAAACACAACGTCATACAGGTGGGCAGTGACCCTGCTGGGCCAGAATCTCTGTGGCCATAGGTACAAGGGATGACCATGTAACTCAAACCAGCCACTCGGGGCCATCTGCATGACTTGTCCAGCAGAGGCTGGGAGGGAGAAGCCACAAGTAGAAGCCCGAGAGAGCCAAAACCCAAAGAACAGCAGAGATAAGAGAACGAGAGAGCAGAGAGGGTTCTGCACTTGTTTCTAGTCTCCAAAGTCCCAGGAGCCACCCTCACTCCCGTCTCTTCCTTCATTTCTGTGTTGCTCCAGTATCCTTCTAAAATATCACATTTTGGGGCCATGAGGTCTGCAACTTACTCTCCAATGGCTTCAAATTCCTTCACCATCCTCACCCTACACCTCTTAATCTGCTTCAGTTCTTCTAACCAGAGGTCAGCCTCCTTGAAAAGAATATGGTTGTAAGAACCACTTTTGGGAAAGTGGTTACATAAAAGTGACAAAGGTCTTATATAAAGTCAAATTATGAGTTGGGGAAAAGCAATGAAAATAAAAATGGATTTTTTTTGTATATTTATTACTGGGATGAAAAAAATGTTACAGAATACCACCACTTCCTGAGCAAACCGTATTTGCCAGTGTCTACAATCCACTCTTGTCAATAACATCATCATCCTGAATGGCTTGTAGCATCACACCATCCTTAGTGGTAAGAAATTTACGGTATTTTGTACCTGCATTCTCCCTTGTTTCTTTTTCACAAATTTCAGCAAAATACTTGAGAAAATACTTTGCATTTTCAAAAATTAAAGATGTCTTTATAAATAGATCGCCTGTCTCTACACTATTCCAGAAACACAAGTTTGCCCATTGCTTTTGTTTGAAAAGAATGAACTGAATAACATATACGTAGAGGTATATCAAAATCTAAACTTTTAGAATGCAAACATAAAAGTCTTGCTTTGACAAACGATTATTTTATTCCCTTTAAGGTGATGCTCCCAGCACTGAACACAGTGACTGATGTGTGGTCTGACTAGCGGAACAGAATGGAATCATCGCGTCCATCATGCTAGACACTATATTTCTATAAATGCAGCCTAAGACTGGATTGGCTTTTTGGAGATCACATCTAATTACTAACTTGCTAATATGCTTCTTGTTGACTAAAGTCACCATGTTCTTTAAAAATAAAACAGACAACAAACAAATATGTTGTTGCTCTCTTCCTGAAATTGAGCAATGATTTTCCGGATCTAAACTCACCGACATCATTTGTTATTATACAGTCAGAATTGCATTTTGAGACCTCTTAGGTAATCCATATTCCTTGTTTGGCAGCATGTGCCGCAGAATCATGCCTACCTTTTCAAATGAATGCTCTTGACTTTGCTCAAGTCCAGGGTAATGGCTGAAGATGCCAGACTTCCCCTTCCTGGTGGTGACCCTGCCACTCCCACTTCTAAACCGAGTTTGGCCCTGTTCACACATAGATTTAGAGTGATAATTTCCATAGCTTTGTCCTGTTAGCAAAGCATGTCAAGAATTTGCCTACGGTTCTGAGCTGAATGAAGCTTTCAGCAAATGTCCTGTGTCCGTTTTGTGACAAACATCCAGAGAGCATTATTCATCATTCACACATCATTGGGTGTGTGGTGAGACTGAACAGTGCAGTAGTTAATTACAAGCTGCAGGTTCAGATGGGGTTTGAAACCAGCTCACCATTTACTAGCTGTGGAATCCTGAGCAAGTTACTTAACCTCTTTGTCCTTCAGGTTTCTCATCTGTAAAATGGGACTGATACTGGTACCTCCCTGAAAGGACTGTTGTGAGGATTAAATAGTCAATATATATAAAGCGCTCATCATCTGGCACATGATAAGCACTCTATAACATGTTCACAATATTTTTCATTTTCTCCATCTTGCCATGTTCACTCCTGTAATAAAGTTTGGCTCTTCTCCTTTTAACCTCTTGGTTCTTTAGCCACTGGAACCCTCGCAGATACACACAAACCGTGACTCTGCCTTCCGACTTAATGTTTCTCCTTTTGCTGTATTTCAGCCACTGGTGTATTCCAGCCTCAAGTTCCATCCCGCTAGTTCTTGGTGATCCCTACCAGGCGTCATTTATCAGCTGGAGTAATAATATAAAGTTTATTTTATCCTGTTTAGGAAGGGGGTCAGACTACAAGTATTGCTTTTGGCCCCTAAATTTGCTCTTCTATGTCCTTATTCTCCTTTTCATCTTAATACCTACCCTCCTCCAAAACAACCAGCCTGCGTGGTTTATCAAGAATTTTCCGCCCTCCTACTTCAGTTTAAAGCCTTTCCGATGCAGTTGGCTAGCCTCTGGGCAAGTGAGGCTTCTGGGTTCTCATTATGTGCCCTCACCTCGAGCCAAGAAACCCTCATTTAATTATCTTAATGCATGGTTCAGACATCCAAATCTTGTTCATAAACACCACTTGCATAAAGAACTGTTCACCTCCCAGATCTTTCTCTCTGTTCCCAAATCCTAACCACAGCAGGAAGACGCAATGGAGGATCAGCGCTCTCCAAGCCTTTGGTTTCTGATCCAAGAACCTGTGGTTCTTTAAGATGTTTCCCCTGTTCCTTCTGATTTTGATATTTATTCTCCTGTGAATCAGAAGGAGCGGGCAGCAGCCAGGAGGTTTAATGAGGCCAGAAAGGTTTTTCATTGTGGCCAGGAGACAGCGTCCAGGAAGACTGCAGCACCCTCTCTGATTGTTCAGGTCCCCTCTATGCCCCTCCATGGGGCGTCACTAGCCAGCACTCAGCCTTGTCAGGACACTAGTAGGTTCTCTCTCATCTCCAGTGGTTGGAGATCCTTCCGATTGACTCTGTTTTTTCTTCAGGAGGTTCTGACTTGCTCCTCTGTGGAGTAAGCCTCAAATTCACAGTGTACCTGCATAGGGACAGTTTGTCTTCTTCTCGGTGTCACTTTAGGTCTTTGATTACCCCCTGGTGCTTCAGTATATGATTTCTCCTCCACAATGTCCAGATTTACCCTTGAATAAAACCATCATATATCCTGAAATGAGCTGTATAATTGAGTTTTTTTCCCCTTCTTTAACTCTATGTCATATGTCACTACTCAACATCTTCTGGTTCAGGGCTAATTCCTTTCTATAACTCAGAATCTTGAGCTAATTGGTTTCTTGTTGTATTAATTCTGCCAATCAGTCTAGGAATTCTTTATTCATGACAGTCTAGACTCCTATGGAGAAACATTTCCTTAGCTTCCTCTCTTTTTACAAGCTATCATGATGCTCAGCCTGTATTTTGGCAGGAAGAACACATTCTTAGACTAATCCCCTTGTTCCCATAATTCAGGATGGGAACAATCCTAATTTGGGATTCCTCATGGATCTTCTTGCCTCTAAAGGGTAAAATGCTGTCGGCTGCTGAGCTCAGTCTCCCTCCAGCTCTGAGAACAGCTATTTAAGCTCACCTGCCCTGTTAAACCATCTTGATAAAGGATCCGTCCACTTAGCAATTTAGGATCTCTGGCCTATAATAAAAATAGCTTGCAATAATCCCTGAATTGAGAACCAGCCATTCGGCATTTAGAAAAAAAGCCTTCCTGGATTTTCCAGCCTCTGCTTCAAATATGTCTTCCTCTTTGGCTCTGGGTTTAGAGCCCAAATCGACATTGACTTAATGTTTTCTTGATGTGATTCACTTCTTACTAATACAAATATTTTTCTTTACTTTTAACCAATAAATTAAAGGATTAATTTAAAGTTTACTAAATAATAATTATAATAATGATTATTCTTATGATTTATAGAACTTCTCTCCAAAGACCTTACCTGGCATGGAGAATTCCTTCAAGTTCTGGCTATTTCCATTGATCAAATGAAAGCCATACTCCCTACATCCACACACTAACGAGAATGGAAACCAACATAATTTCCCGTCCCTGTGTTACACAAGGCTGGGAGCAGTATACTTTCCTGCTCTTGTGTTAAACAAGGCCAAGAACAAGCAAAAACCAATCTGCTGCTTACTCCAGCAAATCCTCACTTTTGGAAGATAAGACTGCAAACCACCCAAAAGGGAGTAAGCACCAATCCTCCTTAAGACCTTGCCTCACGAGTCCCACCATTCCAAAGCTGTTACGTCCCGAACTCTGTGCAATCCCAACTAGTTGCCCATCTTGTAAGATCCATTGAAACATCCTCCACTCCAGGCCCTAAAACTCTATAACTAACCTCCCCTGCCCTTCCTCTTCCTGAGACACTATTAAGATCTGTCAAGGAGGTGCTCTCCCTTGCTGCAATGGTCTAATAAACTTAGCTTTGTTTCAGCAACAGTTTTTTCTGGTGGTCTGTTATGGAGTCAACAGTCAACACTGACCTCTTCTCGCCTATGTTTTTCTTCTTTGGGGACGTTATCTGCTGGTGCTATGTCCCCCACGATGCATTCTGCCATATCGTGAACCAGGGCTAGGCGTACACATCTGACCAGGCAAGAAATGGTGAATAATTACACAGAATTATATTCTCTACATGTTCCTCCTCTTGACTATTTTGAAGTTACGTAATATATTTTTCTCTCTCCACCCTCACAGAGAATTTTAATGCAGTATTTTCTGAAGCAATTATATTCTGCCAGCCTGCAACAATTCTGAATCCAAAGTGCTGGTTACTATTCAACTCAATACATGAGAGGGCATGGGAAATTGTTAGCATGCATTTTTTAAAAAATAGATGGTTTCAAATATCACTTTAAAAGATTGATAACTTCAGATTACAAAGCCAGGAGATGATCTGGTTATAGCATTTACTTACTGATACAAAATTGAGCAACAACCATTTCCCCAACGTACTAGTTAAATGTCAAAATGAGGCCCTCTCTAGAGAAACAGGTAGAGCTGGACAGATCTGAGTTCAAATCCAGCAACCAGCATTTATTAGCTGTGTGACCTTTGCCAAGTGACTTAATTTCTGTAAATCCTCAGTTTTGTCAGCCTTTATTTTATCATCTGTAAAAAAGAGGTAATGATACTTTATAAGGTTGGTATGAAAATTAAATTTGATAATTTATGTTTCTGGCACATGATCATTCAACAAATGGCTATGATTATTAGTGATAATGATTAGTGATTAGGATAATCCCAGTCAAAATAACACAGACAGGTCACAAGATAAATGCCCCAGAGGGCCAGTCTGTTTCATGCTCCCACTATTCCCAGGGCAGGACAAGTCCTGACAGTCTCCTTGGAGGTGTCCCTGCCTGCAGTCTCTCTCTCATCCGTTTAAATTTCAGGCTACTCTTAAGTTCATCTCCAGCTGACACATGTCCATCTGGTACTGCTTGCCAAAAACCTCCTCAGCTCCACACCGTCTGCAGAGTAACAGGGCTCCTCAGCCCCCCTAAGGAACCCTTTGCTGCAATCAAACTGACTGACATATCATTTCCAAAATGCACTTCTACTTTCCTACCATCAGAGCTGTGGTTTCCACGCCCTCCTCTCGCGTGCTGTGCCTTCTCCTTCTCTACCCAGTCAGCCCTTGAGAGCTCATCTCAGATTCTGTCCCCTCCATCAAGGTCACCCAAGAACAGTGATCTCTCCTTCTAGAATATTTTGCTAATTTTCTAACACAGTTTGTGCTTTTTATAGAAGCCAACTTTGGCCTGTGTAATTCACGTGCGATTTATTTACTGTCTTATATTGCTAGTAAACTTTGTCCTGTGCTCAAAAAGCATTTTCAATACTGTTGATTAACCGCAGGGGGAGAGGCTCTCTCTTTCTCAGCTACATCTTGCACATATCACTCCAAAAAGTCACCTCACACATGGGGGGCTAGATGAAAGTACACAGTGTACTAATACAATGATAGAATCCTAGACATAACACACTCACCTTCAGGGCCCTGGAAACCCTAATACCACACTTAGTTTCCTTGAGGCCAAGGCAGGCTTTTTCACTTGTCAAGAGAAAACCCCAAGTGCAATTTACAACTGAAGCAATCAACACACATAGTGCCCCTTCCCACATCCTGAATCTGTATGGTTTGCCTCAAATAATTTTTCTTGACATAGAGTTAGACACAAGCCTGAGTCATGGAAAGTGGTGCACACCCATAGACCAGAGACCCTAACAAACACCAAAGTGCACATCAGCTTACCGATCTTTGTTGAGATGGTCATCTTTGGTCAGCAGAGCCATAACTGCCATCCTGTACATGTGATCTGACACACTCTCTGGCCTCTCGACATTTCTGTAGACCCAGCCAGTCCGTGGGACTCTCTGATGAAAATGAGACGAGAAAGAAGCTTATAAAAATAAATATTTTAACTATCTGCTATGCTCTTCAAGAGAAGTCCAGCGAATAGGGCACAGAAGCAGGATCATGATTTCAGAATAAGTATTAAAAAATGCTGGAGCCGGCCCTGTGGCCGAGTGGTTAAAGTTTCGTGTGCTCCGCTTCGGCACTCCCAGGTTCACGGGTTCGGATCCCTGGTGCGGACCCACATTACTCACCAGCCATGCTGTGGCGGTGTCCCAAATGCAAAATTGAGGAAGACTGGTACAGATGTTGGCTCAAGGCTAATCTTCCTCAAGCCAAAAAAGAGGAAGATTGGCAGCAGATGTTAGCACAGGGGGAATCTTCCTCAGGAAAAAAAAATGCTTAACTAACCAAAATGGGGCCAGCCCTGGTGATTCAGTGGTTAAGATTCAGCATTCTCGTCTCCCAGTCAGGGAACCACACCACCCGTCCGTCGGATGTCATACTGTGGCAGCTGCACGTTGCTGTGATGCTCAAGGCTATGCCCCTGGCATTTCAAATACCAGCAGGGTCACCCATGGTGGACAGGTTTCAGCAGAGCTTCAGGACTAAGACAGACTAAGAAGAAAGACCTGGCCACCCACTTGTGAAAAAATGGCCAGGAGAACTCTGTGAATAGCAGCAGAGCATTGCTTGAAACAGCACCAGAAGGGGCGAGGATGGGGCAAATAGACCAGGCGGGGCTCTGCTCTGCTGTACACCAGGTCACTAGGAGTCAGAATTGACTGGAAGGCCCTAACAACAACAAACCAAAATGACTGACATCTGGAAACAAATAATCCAGTGAGGTCAGAGAATGAGAGAGAGAGGGAGAGAGAGAGACCCACAAGCATACAATACAAAAGGCCAACAGTCAAGTTACTCTGTGTAACTGATGTATAAATTATGGAACATATACAAGTCCTTTAGACATAAAAACAAAACTGTAAAGCATCTTATTTTTGTTAATTATAGGAGTTGGGACTTTTTGCCTTCAAACAACCCCATTCAACACAAGTAGAAAACACTGTGGTGAAAGGGAACTTGACCACCGAACTTGACCAAGACACAGACTTGCAAATTCTGAAGCAGAAGGGATAAGGGCATGTCTAATGGCTTCATGCTACCACCAGTCACCCTTTTATTCAGATCATGATGTGATCTTCTGAGACTGCACTTTTTCCTCCTAAGTCCACATTTCTAAAGAATCTTATAAACAGTCGTCATAGCGGCATGAAACAGATCATCTGCTTTCAACTTGAGAAATTCTGCACAATCACGAAGGGGGATGGGACATGCACATGATGTAACTCCAGCGTGTCCTATATAAAAATCCTCTGTTAAAAAACGTCTTGTTATTTCTGGAAGCCACCGTGAGACAGATGTAAAGCCCTCCACTTAAAATCTGCGGGGCCGGCGGGTTCTGCTCTTCGCAGCCGCCCCGTTGGGGTCGGGAGCCCGGGTGTGCTCCGGGCAGCTGCGGCCACGGCGGGGGCCCCGCACCTCTCCGCGCCGGCTGCTCCCGGGAGCCTCCCCACCCGGGCTCGCCCCCCGACCCCGCAGTCCCCGCGGGTCAGACTCTCCGGGCCCGGACGGCCTCCGCCGCCTCCCTCCCTCCGCCTCCGCCCAGACGGCCCGCCTCCACGGGGAGCGGCCCCCGAGCCCGTGGCCCCGAGGGCGGAGGGGCGCGAGGCCCCGCCCGGAGCCGGAGCCTCGTGGGCCCACGGCCGCCACTGCCTCCCCCCGCGCGGCCGCTTCCCCGGCCCCGCACGGGCCGGCGCGCCGCCCGCTCACCTTGAGCTGCCCCACCAGCCGCAGGAAGCGCAGCAGGTGCCCGGCCCCGCGGCCCGAGGCCGCCTCAGAGGACGCCGCAGCCATGCGGCCAGATCCCCAGCGGTTGGAGCAGGCCGCGTGGCCGCCGCCTAGGCTCCTCCCCCTCCTGACTCCTTCCTCTCCCCTCCCTTCTCTTTCTCCTCCTCTTACCTCCTCCGCTTCCACACTCTGTTTTTCCCAGAACCTCCTGTCCCGTGCTCCACCTTCCTGGCCTTGGTAGCTGCCCCCTGGGCATTGCACCATCCAAGGCAGACACAGTACTAGGCACTCATTACTACTTGTTTGCTGAACTCCACTCAACTGAACTCGGTCAAACTTTTAAAGGGATGGCAGTTCTGGGAAGGGGCGGAGGGCCGGTGTGTCTAGAGGAGGAGGAGGAAGGCCATGTCAAATTGCACTAAAATCTTGCCTTTCAGCAAGACAGTGCCTGATTGGGGGAAGAGATAAGGAAATCTACTTCAAGGCAGGCAATCTATAAACATTTTACCAGAGGCACAAGGAAAGTACTTTGGGAGGGAGAAATTAATTAGGAGTGACAGAAGTACTGGGAGGGCTTTGGGGCTGGCCATAGCCAAAGGACTTTGGAAGTAACCGTGCATGGGCTAGGGAGTGAAGACACTCCCGTGATGAAGCACAACCTCCTTCACACCTCAAGAGCTGAAGGATCCTCTCCCCCAAAAGTTGGTCAGGGTCTGTCTCAACCCTCTGTCTTAGTTTCATCAACAACCAGTGGTAAATTTTTAAAGGCATTTAGTGGACATGCATACTGAAGGACTCAGGGAGAAAAAGTGACATTGGAAGTAGACTATAAGGGGCAGGGAGGAAGCAGGGAGACCGGTTCCGAGATTATTGAAATAATTGTTTGGGGAGATGACTTGGGTTTGGTTCAGGGTGGTAGCAGTGGAGGTGGTGAGATGTTATTGAATTTGGATACAATTTGAAGGTAGCGCTAACGAGATTTGTAACAGATTGGACATGGGATATGGGAGAAAGAGAAGAGTCAAGGATAACTCCATAAATTTTGGCCTGACCCCCTGGAAGGATGGAGTTGCTATCTACTGAGCTGGAGAAAACTACAAGAAGAGCAGGTTGTGGGGAAGGGTAGGAATCAGAAGTTTAGTGTAGGACATGTTGGGGTACCTATTAGAAAGCCTAAGAAAGATACAAATCTGACATCAGAGGAAAGGTAAAAATTTTGTGTCTTCAGCATATAAGATGGTTTGTAAAACCATGAAACTGGATGAGATCACCTGGCGAGAAATTGTGGATGAAAAAGAAAAGATGTCTAAGGCCTAAGTCCTGGGGCAACCCAACATTTGAGTTTGGGAAACCAAGAAGCAGCAGCCAGTGAGGTAGGAAGAGGACTAAGAGACGCTGTAGTTGTGCCCTGGAAGCCAATGAAGAAAATATTTCAAGAAGGAAGGAATATGGTCAGCCAAGTCAATATTACATCAGATAAGGATTGAGATTTGACTACAGACTTAGCAAATTCAGTGTCATTGGTGACCTTGACGAAAGCAGATTCAGTTGTAGTGAGGTGAGCAGAACACTGCTTCCAGAGATAATGGGAGTGAGTATTGCAACTCATTTAAAATGGAGTGGGGCTACTAGAGGAGAGATTTTTTTAGAACAGGAGACATTATAGTGTGCTTATTTACTAAAGGAGGTGATCTAGTAGAAAGGGGAAAATTGATGATGTGAGAAACAGAGGAGAGAAATACTGGAATGACGGCCTTGAGTAGATAAAAAAGGATGCAACCTATGTGCAAGATGAAAGATTAGCCTTAGGAATATGGAGGTTCATCCGTAATACAGGAGGAAGGAAGAGAATATGGTGACTAATTAACGGCAGATGTGGTCATGGGAGGTTGTAGAGGTTATCTTCTGACTGCTTCTCTTTTTTCACTGAAACAGGAAGCAAAATCTAGACTAAATTATGTTGTAATAACAAGCAACCTCTGTAACTCAGCGGTTTAACACACCGAAGGTTTATTTCTCTCTATGCTAAATGCCCATTGCTGGTCAGCTAGGGGCCCCTGCTCTAACCTCATCCAGGGAGTGAAGTGGCTCTCTATGCTCCTCTGTTGCCAAGACTGAAAAAAAGAAAAGTAGCACCCTGCCTCATAAAACCTGCCCTTGGAAGGGGTATGTGACCCTCCTGCTACATATTATTGGCCAAAATAAGTAACACCATCACACCTAACTTCAGAGGGGGGCTGTGGAGTGCAATCTTACCATGCTCCTGGGAGGAGAGGAGGCTGGAATATCTGTGAATGGAGGAGGAGGCGTTGGAGGGTTAAGGAGAGAGAAGGCACAAAATAGTTTTTTTGGAGAGTGGGGCAGCAGCAGGATTAAATACAACTGAGCACCAGATGAATGCCAAGGACAGTGGGGCATCTATTAAAAATGGTTAGGATGGTGGACTAGAAGCTATTTTTATGGTGGTAGGTGGTGCTAAATAAAGGAAGGATCAGAGACAAAGTAGTCAAGTCCCCTGGAGGAAAACAAAAATAAGTAAACAAAAGGATAGAATGAAGAACATTCTAGAGATGGGTGCCATGAAGCAATGGCCTACAAGCCAGATGGTGAATGCACAGGCTACCTGTTACATTTCCTTCTGAGTGGCCTTGTCCCCTTCTTCTGCCATCAGTGCCTTGATTTCCTTTGAGCTCTTCCTCATTCCTGCAGGCTTGATTTAGTCTTTGTGGGTAACGCTACCCGTATTTGCAACTTTCTTTACAAAATGCATGAGTTCTCTTTACTTTGTGTAGTGAGCTGTAAAGAATTTCTCCAGTTGTCTAAGTTATCAGGAGTTGGATGATGTTAAGTTGCTGAGAAATTATGAATTGAGTATATGCAGTTTTTGAGAAGCCCTATTTTAAAGACAGATATGGATTTTTTTTCGTGGATATTATTATCCAAAAATAAATTGTTATTTTGACAATTCAAAAAATACTGCCAACTTGTTGCTTTTCTAAACTGTAAATGTTCATCAGGGCTTGTAACAAGGCTTATTCCTACCTTGTCATAAAAACTATCAAGAAGAATGTGACAAGCCAGCCCTGATGGCCTAGTTGTTAAAGTTCGGCACGCTCTGCTTTGGTGGCCCAGGTTTTGTTGCCGGGCACGGAACCACACCACTCTTCAGTCAGTAGCCATGCTGTGGCAATGGCTCACATAGAAGAACTAAAAGGACCTACAACTAGAATATACAACTATATACTGGGGCTTTGGGGAGGAAAAAAAAACAAAGAGAGGAAGATTGGCAAAAGATGTTAGCTCAGGGCAAATCTTTCCCAGCAAAAAAAAAAAAAAACAAAAAAAAGAAAGTGACTATAGTAGGTAGAGTAGTGGCTTCCCAAGGATGTCCATGTGGTAATCTCCAGAACCTGTGAATAGGTTACATTACATGGCAAAAGAGAGTGGTAGCAGATGGAGTTAAATTTGCTAATCAGCTGAATTTAGAATAGGGAGATGATCCCGGATTACCCAGATGGGCCAGATGTAGTCACAAGGGTCCTTTAGGTGGAAGGGGGAGATAGGGAGATGATCCCGGATTACCCAGATGGGCCAGATGTAGTCACAAGGGTCCTTTAGGTGGAAGGGGGAGAAAGAAGAGTGTCAGAGTGATGCCATGTAAGCAAGACTCAATTGCTGGCTTTGAAGATGGAAGGGGATCATGAGCCAAGGCATGCAGGCAATCTCTACAAGTTGGAAAAAGCAAGAAAATTAGATTTTCCCCTTGAGCCTCCAGAAAGGAATGCAGCCCGGCCAACACCTTGATTTTAGGCTGGGAAGACCCAGTTTGGTCTTCCGACCTCTAGAACCGTGCTAAGTGCTGTGCTAAGTGACTGAGTTTGTGGTAGCATGTCACAGCAGCAATGGGAAGCTAATACAGTGACGCATCATACTGATACCTCACCCCTCTTCACTGATTGTCCTTCTTCACCTTTTATTTTTTCTGAAGAAGGAAAATTGGAAAGGCTGTTTGTATTCTACAAAACCAATGACTTATTTCAAGGACGTGTTGGCCAACCATCTCCTTCTAGCATCAGGGAAAACAGGAATCAGTTTATTTCCACAGAAAGAGTGCCAGTTTAAAGGAATGGGCAAGGGAAACAATTTGGCACCATTTACTTGAGTCAACTGGAGAAGATGAAACTAGAAGGCTCTCATCATGTCTACTACAGGGATTCTTCACTTGGGTTCAGTGTACACTTCAGTGGAATCTGAATATCCTGGAATTGTCTGTGAGTTGTTTTGCTTATGAGGATTTTTCTGTTTATCAGGTCCTTAAAGAGATCTGTGACCAGAATGGGGGCAAAATCTGCCACTATTGACAACGCTGGTCCAATATGCAACTGTGGTGCAGGACACAAAGCTCTGGTCTTAGTGGTACAGTAATAAAAGCCGTACCTGATTGATCCTCTGCTAGTGCGATATATTGTTACATAGCTCATCTCATTTTAATTCTCCCATCATCCCTCCAAGGTGTTAATAATCCCGTGTTTCAGATGAGAGCACTGAGTTGCAGAGAAGCTGAGGAACTGGCCTCACTTTTCGTTGCCAGTGGACAGCGGTGCCAGAATTGGAGGTCTGGCCTGTCTTCCTCCAAATCTTTCTTTCAGTTGACACCCTGCTGCTCCCCAGCCGACTGACTATTAGTACCCACTTCTTATCATTGTGGAAATTAAATGAATTCTGTGTATGAAACAGGTTTTGTAATCTGTTCTTTATGTAAAGAATTGGGCAGGAGAATAGATGGCAATGGATCGAGCTGAGAAATTTTGACCAGAAAACATTCATAAGTTTGCTTTGGGAACTGTCTAAAGGGTAGAGACAGGGCCGGCCCCCTGGCGTAGCGGTTAAGTGCTCGTGCTCTGCTGCTGGCGGCCCGGGTTCAGATCCCGGGCGCACACTGACGCACCTCTTGTCAGGCCATGCTGTGGCGGCATCCCACATAAAGTGGAGGAAGATGGGCACGGATGTTAGCTCAGGGCTGATCTTCCTCACAAAAAAAATAAATAAGTAAAAATAAAAAAAATAAAGGGTAGAGACCATGTCTGACCAAAA